AGGAGGAGGAGAAGGTAGCAGTGAATGGATTAAGAGAGCGTCGTTGAGAGAGAAATATTTACGGCCGGGAGGCTGGCAAAAACAGTTCAGCATCGATCAAACTGCTGGGGATGGGTCATGTGTAAGTGTGGAAGCTGTGAGTTGAAGTGCTTGTCTGTCACTGTCTTGAAGTGCTTGTCACTGTCTTCTTAGTGGTACCTGGTGCTGCACAGCCACATCAGGAGGTAAACAGCAGTGAAGGAACAGGTGATGAAACTGAGGATACGGGCAGACAGATTCACTACAAACGACAAGGAAGTGTGCGAGGAACTCAATAAGAAATTCCAGGAGGTCTTACCAGTAGAGCAAGGGGAAGTCCTAGAGATAAGAGAAGGAATGTCTAACCAGACACTACTAGATGAGTTTGTTATTACCAGTGTGGAGGTGAAGAAGCATCTGGTAGAGTTGGAAGTGACAAAGGCTATAAGCCCGGATGGAATCTCATCTTGGATACTAAGGAGCAGAAGCACTGTGCCTGCAACTCTTCATAGTGTATAACAAATCACTGGTAACAGGTGAACTGCCAAAAATTTGGAAGACAGCTAATGTAGTCCCGATATTCAAGAAGGGTGACAGACAGGAGGCACTGAACAACAGGCCTGTGTCCCTAACTTGTATATCATGCAAAGTGATGGAGAAAATTGTGCGAAAAAATCTAGTGGAACATCTGGAGCGAAGGAACTTTATATCAAAACATCAGCATGGGTTCAGGGATGGTAAATCATGCCTCACAGGATTAATTGAATTCTATGACCAGGCAACAAAGATCAAGCAAGAAAGAGAGGGCTGGGTAGACTGCATATTTCTGGATTGCCGGAAAGCCTTTTACACTGTACCACATAAGAGACTAGTGCAGAAACTGGAGATGCAGGCAGGAGTGAAAGGGAAGGTACTCCATTGGATAAGGGAGTACCTAAGCAACAGAAGACAGCGAGTCTCTGTGAGGGGTGAGGTCTCAGAATGGCGAGGCGTCACCAATGGAGTCCCTCGGGGATCCGTTCTTGGGCCTATACTGTTCCTGATATATGTAAATGATCTCCCAGAGGGTATAAACTCGTTCCTCTCAATGTTTTCTGATGATGCAAAAATTATGAGGAGGATTAACCCTTAAGACAGAGGAAGACAGTATGAGACAATAAGATGACCTAAACAAACTGAAGGAATGGTCCAACAAATGGCTACTTAAATTCAACCCTAGTAAATGTAAGGTAATGAAACTAGGGGGAGGAAATTAAAGGCCAGACACAGGATTCCGAATGGGAAATGAAGTCCTTCACGAAACGAACAGAGAGAAAGATCTAGGAGTTGATATCACACCAAACTTGTCTCCTGAAGCCCACATCCAAAGAATAACATCTGCGGCATATGCGAGGCTGGCTAACAACAGAACTGCCTTCAAGAACCTGCGTAAGGTATCTTTCAGAATCTTGTATACCACGTATGTAAGACCAGTCCTGGAGTATGCGGCCCCAGCATGGAGCCCGTACCTTGTGAAGCACAAGACGAAGCTGGAAAAAGCCCAAAGGTATGCTACTAGACTAGTCCCAGAACTAAGAGGCATGAGTTACGAGGAAAGGCTGCGGGAAATGCACCTTACGACACTGGAAGACAGAAGAGTAAGGGGAGACATGATCACCACATTCAAAATTCTCAGGGGAATTGATAGGGTAGACAAGGATGGCTTATTTAACACGGGTGGTACACGAACAAGGGGACACAGGTGGAAACTTAGTACCCAAATGAGCCACAGAGACATTAGAAAGAACTCATCAGTGTCAGAGTAGTTAGTAAATGGAATGCATTAGGCAGTGATGTGGTGGAGGCTGACTCCATACACAGTTTCAAATGTAGATATGATAGAGCTCGAGAAGCTCTGGAACCTGTACACCAGTTGATTGACGGTTGAGAGGCAGGACCAAAGAGCCGAAGCTCAACCCCTGCAAGCACAACTAGGTGAGTACATGAGGGCCTTGCTCTCTAGGCTGTCCTACAGGTCCTGTACAGGATCTTCAGGAGCTGAGGCGCCTGTCATACGCACCACAGGAAGTTAAACAGGAAGAGACCATTTAGTCCCAACGTGGTCGGTTAGTAACAGGAATCGTCTTCCGGTGCAAACAATGTATGAAACATTTTATGAACAATTGGACAAAATTGAAATAATTTAAGGGATAAAATGGTTTGTGCTACTCGAGTGAGCCGCTCACCCAGAGGACAGTTGAATGGGAAGGTTCTGTCCAGAGGACAGTTGAATAGGAAGGTTCTGTCCAGAGGACAGTTGAATGGGAAGGTTCTGTCCAGAGGACAGTTGAATGGGAAGGTTCTGTCCAGAGGACACAGTACAGATAAGGAACGTGTTTTTTTCACTCAGAATAAGCCCAAAGATCCTGACTAGTGGCGTTATATCTCGGCCCCCTTGGCGCCAGTGTCCTTGTTCTGGCGCCAGTGTCCTTGTTCTAGCGCCAGTGTCCTTGTTCTGGCGCCAGTGTCCTCCTTGTTCTGGCGCCAGTGTCCTCCTTGTTCTGGCACCAGTGTCCTTGTTCTGGCGCCAGTGTCCTTGTTCTGGCGCCAGTGTCCTTGTTCTGGCGCCAGTGTCCTTGTTCTGGCGCCAGTGTCCTTGTTCTGGCGCCAGAACAAGGACACTGGCGCCAGTGTCCTCCTTGTTCTGGCGCCAATGTTCTTGTTCTGGCGCCAGTGTCCTTGTTCTGGCGCCAGTGTCCTCCTTGTTCTGGCGCCAGTGTCCTCCATGTTCTGGCGCCAGTGTCCTTGTTCTGGCACCAGTGTCCTTGTTCTGGCGCCAGTGTCCTTGTTCTGGCGCCAGTGTCCTTGTTCTGGCGCCAGTGTCCTTGTTCTGGCGCCAGTGTCCTTGTTCTGGCGCCAGTGACACTGGCGCCAGTGTCCTCCTTGTTCTGGCGCCAATGTTCTTGTTCTGGCGCCAGTGTCCTTGTTCTGGCGCCAGTGTCCTTGTTCTGGCGCCAGTGTCCTTGTTCTGGCGCCAGTGTCCTTGTTCTGGCGCCAGTGTCCTTGTTCTGGCGCCAGTGTCCTTGTTCTGGCGCCAGTGTCCTTGTTCTGGCGCCAGTGTCCTTGTTCTGGCGCCAGTGTCCTCCTTGTTCTGGCACCAGTGTCCTTGTTCTGGCGCCAGTGTCCTTGTTCTGGCGCCAGTGTCCTCCTTGTTCTGGCACCAGTGTCCTTGTTCTGGCACCAGTGTCCTTGTTCTGGCGCCAGTGTCCTTGTTCTGGCGCCAGTGTCCTTGTTCTGGTGCCAGTGTCCTCCTTGTTCTGGCGCCAGTGTCCTTGTTCTGGCGCCAGTGTCCTTGTTCTGGCGCCAGTGTCCTTGTTCTGGCGCCAGTGTCCTCCTTGTTCTGGCACCAGTGTCCTTGTTCTGGCGCCAGTGTCCTTGTTCTGGCGCCAATGTCCTCCTTGTTCTGGCGCCAGTGTCCTTGTTCTGGCGCCAGTGTCCTTGTTCTGGCGCCAGTGTCCTCCTTGTTCTGGCGCCAGTGTCCTTGTTCTGGCACCAGTGTCCTTGTTCTGGCGCCAGTGTCCTTGTTCTGGCACCAGTGTCCTTGTTCTGGCGCCAGTGTCCTTGTTCTGGCGCCAGTGTCCTTGTTCTGGTGCCAGTGTCCTCCTTGTTCTGGCGCCAGTGTCCTTGTTCTGGCGCCAGTGTCCTTGTTCTGGCGCCAGTGTCCATGTTCTGGCGCCAGTGTCCTTGTTCTGGCGCCAGTGTCCATGTTCTGGCGCCAGTGTCCTTGTTCTGGCGCCAGTGTCCTTGTTCTGGCGCCAGTGTCCATGTTCTGGCGCCAGTGTCCATGTTCTGGCGCCAGTGTCCTTGTTCTGGCGCCAGTGTCCATGTCTGGCGCCTGGCGCCAGTGTCCATGTTCTGGCGCCAGTGTCCATGTTCTGCCGCCAGTGTCCTTGTTCTGGCGCCAGTGTCCTTGTTCTGGCGCCAGTGTCCATGTTCTGGCGCCAGTGTCCATGTTCTGGCGCCAGTGTCCTTGTTCTGGCGCCAGTGTCCATGTTCTGGCGCCAGTGTCCATGTTCTGCCGCCAGTGTCCTTGTTCTGGCGCCAGTGTCCTTGTTCTGGCGCCAGTGTCCATGTTCTGGCGCCAGTGTCCTTGTTCTGGCGCCAGTGTCCTAGTTCTGGCGCCAGTGTCCTTGTTCTGGTGCCAGTGTCCTCCTTGTTCTGGCGCCAGTGTCCTTGTTCTGGCGCCAGTGTCCTTGTTCTGGCGCCAGTGTCCTTGTTCTGGCGCCAGTGTCCTTGTTCTGGCGCCAGTGTCCTTGTTCTGGCGCCAGTGTCCTTGTTCTGGCGCCAGTGTCCTTGTTCTGGCGCCAGTGTCCTTGTTCTGGCGCCAGTGTCCTTGTTCTGGCGCCAGTGTCCTCCATGTTCTGGCGCCAGTGTCCTCCATGTTCTGGCGCCAGTGTCCTCCATGTTCTGGCACCAGTGTCCTCCATGTTCTGGCGCCAGTGTCCTCCATGTTCTGGCGCCAGTGTCCTTGTTCTGGCGCCAGTGTCCTCCATGTTCTGGCGCCAGTGTCCTTGTTCTGGCGCCAGTGTCCTCCATGTTCTGGCGCCAGTGTCCTCCATGTTCTGGCGCCAGTGTCCTTGTTCTGGCGCCAGTGTCCTCCATGTTCTGGCGCCAGTGTCCTTGTTCTGGCGCCAGTGTCCTCCATGTTCTGGCGCCAGTGTCCTCCATGTTCTGGCGCCAGAGACTTCGCAGTCTTCTTGTGAGACCTCAGGTCGGACCTGGTCTACACGACCAGGTCCTGAGTGGCCTCTACGACCAGGAAACCTTGACCACCGCCTGGACGACCAGGTCCTGTTTAGAGAATAACATTACCTAGGACCATCGCCTAGGTCTCCTACTCTCACTAGGACTCTCACTAGGACTCTCACTAGGACTCTCACTAGGACTCTTGACGTTACGTGTTCGTGTGTATAATTTTGGAGCAAATTTCTTTGGCGAAACTTTCATATAGTTTGTGTATGTGAAGCAGACTCTTCCTGTGAGGCAGACTCTTCCTGTGAGGCAGACTCTTCCTGTGAAGCAGACTCTTCCTGTGAAGCAGACTCTTCCTGTGAAGCAGACTCCTCCTGTGAAGCAGACTCTTCCTGTGAAGCAGACTCTTCCTGTGAAGCAGACTCTTCCTGTGAGGCAGACTCTTCCTGTGAAGCAGACTCTTCCTGTGAAGCAGACTCTTCCTGTGAGGCAGACTCTTCCTGTGAGGCAGACTCTTCCTGTGAAGCAGACTCTTCCTGTGAAGCAGACTCTTCCTGTGAAGCAGACTCTTCCTGTGAGGCAGACTCTTCCTGTGAGGCAGACTCTTCCTGTGAAGCAGACTCTTCCTGTGAAGCAGACTCTTCCTGTGAGGCAGACTCTTCCTGTGAAGCAGACTCTTCCTGTGAAGCAGACTCTTCCTGTGAAGCAGACTCTTCCTGTGAAGCAGACTCTTCCTGTGAGGCAGACTCTTCCTGTGAGGCAGACTCTTCCTGTGAAGCAGACTCTTCCTGTGAAGCAGACTCTTCCTGTGAAGCAGACTCTTCCTGTGAGGCAGACTCTTCCTGTGAGGCAGACTCTTCCTGTGAAGCAGACTCTTCCTGTGAAGCAGACTCTTCCTGTGACTCTTCCTGTGAGGCAGACTCTTCCTGTCCTGTGAAGCAGACTCTTCCTGTGAAGCAGACTCTTCCTGTGAAGCAGACTCTTCCTGTGAGGCAGACTCTTCCTGTGAAGCAGACTCTTCCTGTGAGGCAGACTCTTCCTGTGAGGCAGACTCTTCCTGTGAGGCAGACTCTTCCTGTGAAGCAGACTCTTCCTGTGAAGCAGACTCTTCCTGTGAAGCAGACTCTTCCTGTGAAGCAGACTCTTCCTGTGAGGCAGACTCTTCCTGTGAGGCAGACTCTTCCTGTGAAGCAGACTCTTCCTGTGAAGCAGACTCTTCCTGTGAAGCAGACTCTTCCTGTGAGGCAGACTCTTCCTGTGAAGCAGACTCTTCCTGTGAAGCAGACTCTTCCTGTGAGGCAGACTCTTCCTGTGAGGCAGACTCTTCCTGTGAAGCAGACTCTTCCTGTGAAGCAGACTCTTCCTGTGAGGCAGACTCTTCCTGTGAAGCAGACTCTTCCTGTGAAGCAGACTCTTCCTGTGAAGCAGACTCTTCCTGTGAAGCAGACTCTTCCTGTGAAGCAGACTCTTCCTGTGAAGCAGACTCTTCCTGTGAAGCAGACTCTTCCTGTGAAGCAGACTCTTCCTGTGAAGCAGACTCTTCCTGTGAAGCAGACTCTTCCTGTGAAGCAGACTCTTCCTGTGAAGCAGACTCTTCCTGTGAAGCAGACTCTTCCTGTGAAGCAGACTCTTCCTGTGATGCAGACTCTTCCTGTGATGCAGAATCTTCTTGTGAAGCAGACTCTTCCTGTGATGCAGCAGACTCTTCCTGTGAGGCAGATGTCTCTCTCTTCCTGTGAGGCAGACATGACTCTTCCTGTGAGGCAGACTTATGTCTTACTCTTCCTGTGAGGCAGATGTCTCTCTCTTCCTGTGAGGCTCTTATGTCTTACTCTTCCTGTGAGGCAGACTCTTCCTGTCTTACTCTTCCTGTGAGGCAGACTTATGTCTCACTCTTCCTGTGAGGCAGACTTATGTCTTACTCTTCCTGTGAGGCAGACTTATGTCTCTCTCTTCCTGTGAGGCAGACTTATGTCTTACTCTTCCTGTGAGGCAGACTTATGTCTCACTCTTCCTGTGAGGCAGACTTATGTCTCACTCTTCCTGTGAGGCAGACTTATGCCACTCGTCCTGTGAGGCAGACTTATGTCTCACTCTTCCTGTGAGGCAGACCTATGTCTTACTCTTCCTGTGAGGCAGACTTATGTCTCACTCTTCCTGTGAGGCAGACTTATGTCTCACTCTTCCTGTGAGGCAGACTTATGTCTTACTCTTCCTGTGAGGCAGACTTATGTCTTACTCTTCCTGTGAGGCAGACTTATGTCTTACTCTTCCTGTGAGGCAGACTTATGTCTCACTCTTCCTGTGAGGCAGACTTATGCCACTCGTCCTGTGAGGCAGACTTATGTCTCACTCTTCCTGTGAGGCAGACTTACGTCTTACTCTTCCTGTGAAGCAGACTTATGTCTTACTCTTCCTGTGAGGCAGACTTATGTCCCTCACTCTTCCTGTGAGGCAGACTTATGCCTCACTCTTCCTGTGAGGCAGACTTATGTATCTCACCCTTCCTGTGAGGCAGACTTATGTCTCTCTCTTCCTGTGAGGCAGACTTATGTCTCTCTCTTCCTGTGAGGCAGACTTATGTCTCTCTCTTCCTGTGATGCAGACTTATGTCTCTCTCTTCCTGTGATGCAGACTTATGTCTCACTCTTCCTGTGAGGCAGACTTATGTCTCTCTCTTCCTGTGAGGCAGACTTATGTCTCACTCTTCCTGTGAGGCAGACTTATGTCTCACTCTTCCTGTGAGGCAGACTTATGTCTCACTCTTCCTGTGAGGCAGACTTATGTCTTACTCTTCCTGTGAAGCAGACTTATGTCTTACTCTTCCTGTGAGGCAGACTTATGTCCCTCACTCTTCCTGTGAGGTAGACTTATGCCTCACTCTTCCTGTGAGGCAGACTTATGTCTCTCACCCTTCCTGTGAGGCAGACTTATGTCTCTCTCTTCCTGTGAGGCAGACTTATGTCTCTCTCTTCCTGTGATGCAGACTTATGTCTCACTCTTCCTGTGAGGCAGACTTATGTCTCACTCTTCCTGTGAGGCAGACTTATGTCTCTCTCTTCCTGTGAGGCAGACTTATGTCTCTCTCTTCCTGTGAGGCAGACTTATGCCTCACTCTTCCTGTGAGGCAGACTTATGTCTCTCACCCTTCCTGTGAGGCAGACTTATGTCTCTCTCTTCCTGTGAGGCAGACTTATGTCTCTCTCTTCCTGTGAGGCAGACTTATGCCTCACTCTTCCTGTGAGGCAGACTTATGCCTCACTCTTCCTGTGAGGCAGACTTATGTGTCTCACCCTTCCTGTGAGGCAGACTTATGTCTCTCTCTTCCTGTGAGGCAGACTTATGTCTCTCACCCTTCCTGTGAGGCAGACTTATGTCTCACTCTTCCTGTGAGGCAGACTTATGTCTCACTCTTCCTGTGAGGCAGACTTATGTCTCACTCTTCCTGTGAGGCAGACTTATGTCTCTCTCTTCCTGTGAGGCAGACTTATGTCTCTCTCTTCCTATGAGGCAGACTTATGTCTCTCTCTTCCGGTGAGGCAGACTTATGTCTCTCTCTTCCTGTGAGGCAGACTTATGTCCCTCACTCTTCCTGTGAGGCAGACTTATGTCTCTCTCTTCCTGTGAGGCAGACTTATGTCTCTCTCTTCCTGTGAGGCAGACTTATGTCCCTCACTCTTCCTGTGAGGCAGACTTATGTCTCTCTTCCTATGAGGCAGACTTATGTCTCTCTCTTCCGGTGAGGCAGACTTATGTCTCTCTCTTCCGGTGAGGCAGACTTATGTCTCTCTCTTCCTGTGAGGCAGACTTATGTCCCTCACTCTTCCTGTGAGGCAGACTATGTCCCTCTCTCTTCCTGTGAGGCAGACTTATGTCCCTCACTCTTCCTGTGAGGCAGACTTATGCCTCTCTTCCTGTGAGGCAGACTTATGCCTCACTCTTCCTGTGAAGCAGACTCATGGCATGTTTTGCTCCTCACGCCAGAAGCTCTGCGGACAATGGACGAGCGTTTTTGTAATCGCTCGTCGAGCCGCAGAGATCCGTATTACTGGCAGCGGAACACGAACCCGTGGAAGATGTGTGTGTCGGGTCAACACCCTGTCCACCACCAGGCCGCAACCGTCACGGGGACAGGAGACACACACACACACGCAAGTCCGTCCTCCTAAGGGTTCGCCAATATCAAGAAAACGCTCAATTTAAAGTGGTCTCTCCTAACCTGCCAGAGGACCCACAACAGAAAACGGGACAGTACGTCACTTTCGCCAGCCGCTTCCATTTTCTAGTATGAGGATTTTTGGCCTTATGTGACGCATACGTGCGAAAAGCGACGTTCTTGGTAGGAGGACAGATTGTAGGAGGACAGGTTGTAGGAGGACAGGTTGTAGGAGGACAGAATGTAGGAGGACAGGTTGTAGGAGGACAGGTTGTAGGAGGACAGGCTGTAGGAGGACAGGTTGTATGACAGGCTGTAGGAGGATAGCTTGAAGGAGGACAGGCTGTAGGAGGATAGGTTGTAGGAGGACAGGTTGTAGGAGGACAGGTTGTAGGAAGATAGGCTGTAGGAGGACAGGTTGTAGGAGGACAGGGTGTAGGAGGAGAGGTTGTAGGAGGACAGGGTGTAGGAGGACAGGTTGTAGGAAGATAGGCTGTAGGAGAACAGGTTGTAGGAGGACAGGTTGTAGGAGGAGAGGTTGTAGGAGGACAGGCTGTAGGAGGACATGTTGTAGGAGGACAGGTTGTAGGAGAACAGGTTGTAGGAGGACAGGCTGTAGGAAGATAGGTTGTAGGAGGACAGGTTGTAGGAGAACAGGTTGTAGGAGGACAGGTTGTAGGAGGACAGGCTGTAGGAGGACAGGTTGTAGGAGGACAGGTTGTAGGAGAACAGGCTGTAGGAGGACAGGCTGTAGGAGGACAGGCTGTAGGGGGACAGGTTGTAGGAGGACAGGTTGTAGAAAGGACAGGTTATAGGAGGACAGGTTGTAGGAGGACAGGCTATAGAAAGAACAGGTTGTAGGAGGACAGGTTGTAGGAGGACAGTCTGTAGAAAGAACAGGTTGTAGAAGGACAGGTTGTAGGAGGACAGGCTGTAGAAAGAACAGGTTGTAGGAGGACAGGTTGTAGGAGGACAGGGTGTAGGAGGACAGGTTGTAGGAGGATAGGCTGTAGGAGGATAGCTTGAAGGAGGACAGGCTGTAGGAGGATAGGTTGTAGGAGGACAGGTTGTAGGAGGACAGGTTGTAGGAAGATAGGCTGTAGGAGAACAGGTTGTAGGAGGACAGGTTGTAGTGTAGGAGGACAGGTTGTGTAGGCTGTAGGAGACAGGTGTAGGAGGACAGGTTGTAGGAGGACAGGTTGTAGGAGGAGGACAGGTTGTAGGAGGACAGGCTGTAGGAGGACAGGCTGTAGGAGGACAGGTTGTAGGAGGACAGGACAGGTTGTAGGAGGACAGGTTGTAGGAGGACAGGTTGTAGGAGGGTCTGTAGGTTGGAGGACAGGTTGTAGGAGGAGGCTGTAGAAAGAACAGGTTGTGACAGGTTGTAGGAGGACAGGACAGGTTGTAGGAGGATAGGTAGGAGGATGTAGGAGGACAGGTTGTAGGAGGACAGGTTGTAGGAGGACAGGTTGTAGGAAGATAGGCTGTAGGAGAACAGGTTGTAGGAGGACAGGTTGTAGGAGGACAGGGTGTAGGAGGAGAGGTTGTAGGAGGACAGGGTGTAGGAGGACAGGTTGTAGGAAGATAGGCTGTAGGAGGACAGGTTGTAGGAGGACAGGTTGTAGGAGGAGAGGTTGTAGGAGGACAGGCTGTAGGAGGACAGGTTGTAGGAGGACAGGTTGTAGGAGAACAGGTTGTAGGAGGACAGGCTGTAGGAGGATAGGTTGTAGGAGGACAGGTTGTAGGAGGAGAGGTTGTAGGAGGACAGGCTGTAGGAGGACAGGCTGTAGGAGGACAGGCTGTAGGAGGACAGGTTGTAGGAGGACAGGTTGTAGGAGAACAGGTTGTAGGAGGACAGGTTGTTGGAGGAGAGGTTGTAGGAGGACAGGTTGTAGGAGAACAGGTTGTAGGAGGACAGGTTGTAGGAGGACAGGTTGTAGGCTGTAGGAGGACAGGTTGTAGGAGGACAGGTTGTAGGAGGACAGGTTGTAGGAGGACAGGCTGTAGGAGGACAGGTTGTAGAAGGACAGGTTGTAGGAGGACAGGTTGTAGGAGGACAGGGTGTAGGAGGACAGGTTGTAGGTTGTAGCAGTAAATAGGTACCTGGGAGCTAGTCAACTGTCATATTTTCGGTACAAAAAGTCGTATTTTCAAAATGAAAATAGGTGCAGAGAGTCAGAATTCGGTTCATAAATCACGCTCAGGAATCAAATTTCAAACATTTCTGATATTTTGAAAACTGCAGGGGGGTTTGGGCAAAATATGGCCCATCGCCGTTTTCAGTAATTGGCATATTTTCGGTATAAAAAGTCGTAATTTGAAACTGTAAAAAGGTGGACAGAGCTAGAATTCGACTCAAAAATGACGCTTAGGAGTCAAATATCCGACATTACAAATATTTTGAAAACTGCAGGGGGGGGGGGTTGAGCAAAATGTTATTCATCGCTGTTTTCAATAATTGGCATATTTTTGGTATAAAAATTCGTAATATATAACTCCAAATATATGCAGGGAATCAGAAATCGGCTCCAAAATGACACTCATGAGTCTGATTTGCGATATTTCCGATTTTCTGAAAACTGTTGGGAGAGGGGGCTGTA